GAGATCTCGCCGATCCTACGCATGAGTGCAAAATAAGCTGCTTCATCCTCGAGAGAAGAGTTAGGGGGCCTATAGCAAATTCCTATCACGATCTTTCCAGTTGCCCCACCGATCTCGCACCATAAGTGTTCGATTGCTCCACAGTTAGCCGAAGTGAGATCTTCTCTGACGCGAACGCCCAGTTCGGTTTTAGCGTACAACACGACTCCTCCCCCCTTTCTGCCGAGCCTATCCTTCCGCAAGATGTCGTATCCTTCGATCTCGAATTCCTTATCCGAAATGTGAGAACCTCCCCAAGTCTCGGTTATTCCGATGACGTCGAAACCGTTGTCCAGTGCCCGCCCCCTTAGCTCGTCTATTTTATTACGTAAGCTGCGTCCATTCGCGTAGAAACACTTTACTCTTCCCTGCCTTTCCTGCACACCAGTACGCGGCGATCTAAAGCTGCTCGTAGTGGCTGTCCCTTGCTTGTGATCCCTTGCCCCCCGCATATCTACAGCAAAGAGATGAATAGATTGAATTCGAGGGCTATTCAAGGGATACATGGGCTACAGGGATGTGACAAATAAGTCATCCTCTGGGATGTTAGTTATAGAATTCCTAAAGGGCAACGCAATAAGCATTGAAATTGTCATATCAGCTCAACATTACAGATCAGCGACGTAGTGTCGGGGAGGGGGGGGTCAAGTGCCTCCCACTTTTCAAGAAAAGACCTAGAAATGCATGGTAATAGTATCCCTGAGTTCCCATACCCCCCCCCCCCCCCCCACACACTTTTTCCATCCACGCTTCAATAATGTTACAAAGAGTAGCCATGGATCAGATTTAAAAAATGATAAACCAGTGTGTGTACTCATAAAAATATGGTTTAATTCCTTCACAGGGTCATCTCGCTCAGCGATTCATGGTCAGGAGAGAATCAACAAGGATTTGGCCCTACCATTCTAAAAGTTCCACAAGGAATTCCAAACTGTTTATAGATGAAAATCCCATCATTTCCAATAGATTCTACTTTTCAAATGAACATCCTCAAATTCCTAACTGGTACTGACTGATGATGGTCATGGATTCTTGTTGAATCTGGCCACTCTTCAATTTATAAGTGGTATCATGTAATTTTTGTCCATACTTTCATGCTTCAGTTAAAAACATAACAGAGCCACTTATTCCCAATTACATCCATGAAAGTCCAATCAGTAAAAATTAGGAGACAGTCTGAGACAGCTGGAATTTTTAGAATGGTAGCTCCTTGGCATCATAGAGAAAATAAAAGCATATATACAGTAGGGATACAATGTGAATGGTAGATGAGAAATAAATTGCATATCCCAGCCAGAGCAGCAGAACACCAAGCAAAACTCTACAGAATAATCAACGAAATAAATGAAAAGACTCAGGAGTGATCCCCAGGGATGGAATGGCATGGAGCAAAGACTTCAATATCACACAATTTGAGTCGATTCTCATTCCACGGTGACAGACTTGGCAAGATTCCGTGGGCAGTCCACATTACAACCACGAAGCACGGCAATGTGGTAACTCAAGAGCTGCATCGGAATCACTGTCAAGATCCCCTGGAGTGGAATGTAATTCATGCACCATGATCAGTCTGGAATCTGAATGAGGCAGCAATTGACATGCAAAAGGTTAAGTACAAACCTGAAGGCAGTCGACAGAGTGCGGGACCTCTAGGGATCGGAAGGCAAACTGTTGCGTCTCCGTGTCTCCCTTGTTGCAGATGAGGATCGGGCGACCCTCACGAGCGACCACCTGCTGCAGTGCGTTCATGCATTTCTACAAGGAGAAAAACAAAGTGTGTTGAGAGGAAAGTAATGGGGAATGATAGGTAAGGAGCAGGGACATACATTGTAGGTGGGATCTCGGGTGACAAACATGACGACAGGCATGTGCTGGTCCACTAGAGCAAGGGGTCCATGCTTCAACTCCCCTGCCAAAACTCCCTCACTGTGCATATATGTGATCTCTTTCACTTTCTGCAGGGATGAAAAAACACAAGAAACATGAAATTGGTGCCAGAATGGCACACGAACTGGCAGGAGTGGTACTCACAAGGGCACCCTCGAGGCACGTTGCAAAGTTGTAGCCACGTCCCATGATCAAGAGAGATTTCTGCTGGTACAGGAATTTGGCAATATCTTCCACCTCAGAGTCCAGGGCCAGAACCTGCTTGATCTGCTCTGGCAAAAGACGCAATCCCTCTATGATCTGGAAGGAATGAGAAGAATGTGGCACAAGTCAAAAACCAACAAGAAAATGACATGACAGTCAGGCATCAGCAACAGTTGTAGGGAATACCTCTTTCCTCCTAGGTGTGAGGGAGATGCGATCTTCAGACATGACAAGGGCAAACATCACCAGAGAGACAAACTGAGACGTGTATGCCTTCGTTGATGCAACTCCGATCTCTGGACCTGATGAAGTCACAACAGAACATATGCAATGAATTATAATATTCACTGAAAAGGCATTCAAGATAAGGGAAGATACAGAGACAGACTGAATATAAAAACAAAAATCACAGACTGAACAAAAGCTAACAGCTACTGAATATAAAATGAACATTTTGAAAAGTTGAAATTAAGATTCAGCAGCAAATGACAAACACATTTCAAATACATGCAGAAGAACTCCTTAACATCACCCATAAGACTAATGCAATAGTCAGCACCCCATGGAACCATGACTTCACATCCTTATATTGATGGTGAAGATGCAAGATCCAAATTGATAGGTATCATACATTTTAAAATTAATTGGAGTCTTAAAAATGAAGTGGTGGCAGGATCTGCTGCTAAAACCTTATAAATGCTAGTTTTAAAATGATTTAATCACCTTTCATGATACCTGCAGTTTTGAAAATATAATCAAAATGTTCAAATAAAAAAAAATGCTTTATGTTCCTCCATTAATGTCGTGCATTTTGAGATACGCGTATTAGCATCTTCACCATCAGCATCTATGTATAGGGTGATTCAAAATAAACGCTCCACCGTTTTCTATGGGAGAAAGTAAGATTCATATATTCAAGGAAAAATAAGATTCATAAACTCATATTGGACATGTACAAGGTGTTGAGAAGATGGTCTGGGTTTTTCTCATAATAATTCGAGTTATGCATTGTCCCACTACAAAGTTTACAAGTGGATCATTACACCTCAAATGCAGTAATGGTCTATGCGCCATCATCTCAAAATTCAAAAAGAGTAGTTTGCCCTGTTTGGGCCTTAAACGGATTTTGACTAAATTCATATTTTTTAAATTATCTTCAAGACCAAATCTTTTGAAAGGGCTCTCAGATAAAACTGATTTTTTTGGCAGAGAGGCTCATGTAAGGTTCAAAGGCTCAAAAAATAAACTTCACAAATTTATCCTTTGAACAAGTTTTCCTGCAAAAACATGTCACATAGTATGAAGTTACAGGGCACTCCGGTCAGCAACAGTGCCCTCATTCGGCATACAATGCCATCTTATGGATGTGAAAAAACCTCTTACGCTCATGAACCTCTCTGTCAAATATCAGCTGCATCCAACTGTCCCTTGAAAAGCTGTAGCCAATCAAAATAGGATTGTGACATAATTACTGTAGTCAAGAATTTAGCATCTGGGTGTTGGGGGCCATTTTGTGTCCCCAAACCCTATGATCAAATTAAAACTCACTTTTCTTGTCCTCCGCTCGAAGTACAGACACATGTGTTTATCTGTAGGCTATTCCCAAAATAATCCAACCTCTTGCCAAATTTAATTGAATTCTGAGACGGTCGAGCACGGATCATTACCTCACTTGAGGTGGAATGATCCACCTCTAAGCACCTTCACCTTAAAAATGCCAGAGCAGATTAGAGAGATACTATGAATTTCATTGAAAAGGGTCAGTGTCAAAGAGCTGATGATTAAAGGGTTAAGAAATGTTTCAAGTCAGAGTGTTCGATCATGTTCCTTCTTGAACTTTGGACATTTTAGTGCCAGCTCTTAGACTCTGGCATTTTGAAGTGATATTTGTAGCATCGCTGTAATAGATTCTGGCACTATAAGAGTTAATTCACCTCTAAATGGGTATTGCAAAACTTTGGAAGAAGTGCTGAAAAAGCTGACATGCATCTCAACACATAGTAACCGTTCAATGCAGATTGTGTAGACAAAGAAAAAAATTTTTTGCTCTTATGAAACTTAGTTTCTCCCATAGAAAACAGAATATTTTTTAAATTCTTGGTGAAGTGAACATTCTGTTCCCAGAACTCTGTTGGTTTCTGTCCTGTTTCTTCTGGATGGGGTTTCCAAAAATGCAAGGAGGCCCAAAAGTCACACACCAAGGGGATTTCACTGTTAAATTTTTTCTTTCTTTCCAGGTAAATGATGGCTGCAAAACTAAACAAAGATGAGAAGGTGGAGTTACTTTTAATGTCCAGATGACCAGGTACTTTAAATCAATCAATAATGTATGTACAAACCATTTACTGTAATTTACTCTATGGTGCAAGACTTATGGGTCACCCTGTACATTGGATGCACTTGATGTACAAAGTATGCCACTTCTCAATGGAGTACAGAGGACTTCAGCTTATGACCAGCAAAATGAAGGCCCCAGTTACATGAAGTCCAACCTAAATTCAGTGCAGACTAATGGCTTCACTGATGTGTTACTTGGATTGAACTTGCCGAGACCAACCTAATGCAGTTTTGTCAACTACCCCATTATACTGGGAAAAAGGAAAATGAATGCCATGAATATATTTTCATACTTATGCGAATTAATTTGATGTCTTTCAACTCTGGAAAAGTTGGATATTTTCAAAAGCACCACTTGAAGAAATTGCTGCAAAAACAATTCTCATAAATGCAGTCACTCACTAAAGTTCAGGGAAACTATTGGGTGTGTTAACTTTAGTGAATGTTGAATGAAACTTTCACCAGTTCATAGAAAAGTTCAGATAATTTCTTTGGATGATTTTGCATATTCTTCAGTCTTGAAAACCACACACCAAAAATTCATTTCCTCTACCACATGATTAAACTGATTGTGGCATGAACTGGTATATTATCTGTGCAACGGTTTTTCAGGATGGCAGGAAATGTAAAATCAATAGGCACATGTCTACAAACTAGCACCTCTACCCTAATTAAGCATTTTTGCACATGGCACATCAAGTACTGCAGAGAAAAGGTTTACATGTTAACTGGGTAATAGTAGGAGAGACCAGCTACTCCCTGTCAATTGACATCAAGAGAAAACCAGCCATACGGAACTTAAATATAATATGCTTGTGAAAGTTCAGGAAAATATTTTGAAGAACTTGTGATACAGATGGGAAATCAGTTGGTACCTTTCTAGTATATTCTGATCATTCCAACATAATATCCACATACGACAAAAAACCAGCCAAATTTAATTACAATCACCAAGCCTACACACACAGAGCTTACACAGGACACAAAGAACTAGCAAGGAAGATTTTGGGATATCTTGGACATACCTTGGAATTTCTTTCCTTTTCTCTCCCAATGTGGGAGGATAATTCTGCCACAAGAGTTTTGCCAATGCATTACGTACATCACTATTTACATCATAAAAATTCAGACTTTTCTTTCTATAAAACACACTATTTTTCATGTCCCAACAGTGCTGTGCAGTTCTTAACTCAAAATATATTTTTTTAATGTAAAAACCCATTTATCCTGACAAACCATCCACCCAGAAGGAAGCTTCCCTACCACTCAACAGGTTAAAAATCTGAATTTTAAATATTTCACTTATCGACTCCAAAATACCTGCATTGATGTGGACACCACAGTGAGACTCGCGACAGATGGATGACCCGACAGTGTTTGTGATGCCAACAATGAGGGCACCATGCTGCTTACAATAACGCAAAGCCATTAAGGAATCCGCTGTCTCTCCTGGAACAAACCAGGGTATTCGCTCAAGCACCACGAAGTCTTAGAGTCAAGAATGAGAAGTGGGGATATCTTTTTACCAGACTGGGAGATGAAGAAGCAGACATCATCACGAAAGATAGGAGTGAGGCGATCGAGAAAGTCAGAAGCCAATTCCACCATGACAGGAAGCTCTGTTAGTTCCTCAATCAGCTGCCGTGTTGCTATGGCTGAATGGTAACTTGTCCCACATGCAATCAGAAGCAAACGACGGCATCGACGGATCTCTGGGAGGTATTCCTATGAAGGCAGAGGATGCTTTGTAAGAAGTTTCCAAGATGACACTGGTTGTCTTCTAGCAATTTTCTCTAGATACAGTACCTTGATGCCACCGAGGACAACGGTTTGGTTTTCAAAATTCACCCTCCCTCTCATTGTGTTGATCACCGACTCTGGCTGTTCAAAGATCTCTTTCTGCATGAAGGAACTGAAGTTTCCTGCAATTTAACATGAAGCACATACAGTCTGCCCTTCAGGCATACACTCAGAACTAATCAGGAAAGCAGGTATCAAGATAGCAATGCCTCCTTTCCTGGGAGGTACCTTTCATGATCTCTTGGATCTCCATCTTGAGCGTAGTGATCTCTCGAGCATGGGAATCGTCAAGGGAGCGGGTAAGACGATGGATGCTGAGTGTCCCATCCTTTACGGCTGCCACATCATCGTCCTACATTTACACCAGGAGTGGAACTGAAAAATTACACCCGAAGTCCAAATAGTAGCAGAAGTTGATCAGACCATACCTCAAGGAAGATAACACGATTGGTGTGCTCAATGACTGCAGACGCATCAGAAGCAAAGAAGTATTCCACCTCGTGTTCATCTGCGAGCGGATGGAACTCTGCCATCGATGTGTTCCGTGTGAACAACGGGAATTCTGTTCCTCGGTGATCTATACAATCACGAAGACCAATCACATTGAGTCAACATTTTTTGTAGTGAGCCAACATTTATATTTATGGAAGAAATTATATTCAAGATGATTTCTTCCATAGGGGGGAAGTGAGGGGATTCACCTGATGGATGGCGCGTGGGCTTGTTATCATCTCCTAACGACAGCAAACACAAGCAAAAGGGGAATCACAATAAAATTCTTGTTAGTGTGCTGAAAACAAATACTAAATTCTTTGAAAACTGCAAAGAACAAATGTCAATAACTATGAATAGGACGGGAAGACATTGGAAAGTCATGCTTGTCGAAGAAACAAGTCAACATTCAGAGAGGGAGCAGGAAAGAGAATGACAGCAGTGCAAGAGATATATGAAGACTCAAAAACACCAGGAGACTGCAACTTACCAAACCTTTCTATGTGCATCCCGCTTCAAGACGTGAAAAGGTAATACATACCTGAATTCTGAAGAATGAAAGAGTACTGAAAAGCTACAGAATGTGGCAACTGAATCACTAGCTGTCAGATAGCGGTAAGCAAAAACTTTGACAGGATACTTTTTTGACACAGACGCAAAGAAAAAGATAGGAGAGGAAGACGAGTGATCAATTGGCTACCTGAATCAGGTTCAGCCTCATGTTCTGGGTCCATGCAATTGAAGTGAAGAACGGGAACCGCCAGGAATCCCGTGCACACATAAAAATCAAGGGATACAGATAAGAGACAGAACAAAGGAATCAAAAGGTTTCACCCACAGTTCCATGCATACGGTATACACACTCCATTTTTTTAGGGGTGTTCAAAGGTTTGTGGCTGCAACCCTTTGAAATTGACCAACATATCATTTACTTGAAGTCCACGATCAAGAGCCCCTTTTCTTTCCTTAATTTCTTGCAAATATAAGAATTAACCCGTTGTCTGGGATAAACAAAAGTTAATATACCACATTTAATATCCACCCAGTGCATTTGGATCTGGCATCTCATGACGACTGATGAGACGGAGGGGCAAGTAAAAAAAAAAAAAAAAAAAGAGGCAATTGTAATACTTGAATCTTCCATTTGAAAATATCACATTTTTCCAAACCTTCAAAGTAACAAAGTAATTAATTTCCATCTGCTTCCTAACCTCAAGAGAACCACTCGCAAAGGACTGTGGTATTGGTGAGCCTAGTGCTTTTGCTAGGAGCCAAGTACTGGTGCTTTTGAGACTTTTTTTTCAAAAGAAATTCAAGAAATCAAGAGTTGAAAGATTTGTCCAATTACGTAAATGCTAAAAACTGACAGATCTACCAGGAGTTTTCTGACAGATGACACACCTTTTGAACACCCCTCGTTCAGCTATAATCAACACGTGGTCACAAAATCGATGGCTACCTATAGTGGGCTTACAAGTGCTTCGAAGTCCCCATGCAATGGTTTCACTACCAAGAGTGGGAAAAGGGAAGAATTATGACTGGGGATGCAGGAGAAGGGAGAACAGACCTATGGGATAGCAGACTGGAATGTAATCGGTAGCGAGTCGGTTCGTCTTCGTCTTGATGCCCACCAGGAGAGGACTCCCTCGTCTCGATGCCACGCATTCCCCAGGAAAGTGCTTGCTCTTCAAGCACACTGCAAAAGCGCCCTCCTGCAAGTACAGGTACTACGTTATCAGCCCATTCTCAATTCCTTGCTCTACCTTACATCATCCCGGAGGGATGTCGCATATGGGAAAGGGGACAGGAGGAAATGATGCGAGGATTGAAATGCGATCGCGGAGGAATGTTTATCAATAACCCCTTTCTGTCAGGGAAACCGGATATATAAACACTGAGGAGGGACTCTTCTCATATCCTTCTCGGTCTCAATCATTGGGGCGAGGAGAAGATCGAGAAATCATCGAGTGAGGAGGAACGTACGAGCTGTTGGATGCAGGTTTCTACAAGTTCCCGGAATGAGTAATCGGGATGTTTCTTATGGAGATGATGGATGAGCTTGGCGATGATCTCTGTGTCCGTGTCACTCTCGAACTGATATCCCTTCGTCGTGAGGAACAATTTGATTCCCTTGTAGTTCGTGATGATCCCTGCAAGTCAGTCAAATTGTGCCCTCATGAAATCCACTTTACACGGAATCCACTTATGACGATATAATGCCGTCATACTGGGCCCCAACTACTCTAAGAAATCGATGCTAATGTTAAGGTAAAATCATTGGCAAATAGATACTTGTACCTTTTGTAGTTCTGCATCAATTGGATTACTTTTTTTGTAAAATTCACTTACAACCTCCCGTTTTGTGAGAACAAAAAATTCCTCTCCGAATGGGCAAATATGTCGTATTGTAGCGATTGCCTTGAAAGTGTGTTCCGGAACTAGTGCCTCTAGATCTTGCAAGTCGAGAAACTACATTCCCGCACTGAATCTTCAGCGCGGAGACAGGAGACTCGCGAATCAGGCCACCATGAAGGTTTGCACAACTAATACCTTTTGCGCACGTAGCTCACCCTTACTTTCATGCCTTTTCCTTCTCGCTCAACATCATTGAGCATTTTCATTGGAAACTAAAAACTTGAACTTGTCCATAGAGGCAAGTCTCTGGCACATTTCATCGTACACCTTCGGATAATTATTGAACCAGGAAACCATACGATATTTATTTTTCTGATGACCATGATAATGACCAATCATACAATCAACTGTAATTGGGCTGTGACAAGAGTAGTAAAGAGAAAACCGTATACCATTGTGGACGACAAGGAAACCATGATGTGGATCGCTCCTTTGAGGGTGTGCATTGGTTTCAGAAGGGACGCCATGGGTGGCCCAGCGGGTGTGAGCGATCCCGACGTGGCTTTCGTAAGCACCCTCCTCAGTCTTCCAACTCTCCTGACACACTATAACCGTACATCAAAGAGCTTCAGTAGCGTTTAAAAGGGAGGGAGGAAGTGATGGAAGAAAATGTGACGGACTCGTTTCGATTTGATCGAGGAGGGCCTGGACCTTTCCGCTCTTCCTCACCACGATCGTATCATCCCCGTCCCCATCAACAGCCACTCCTAACGAAGTCCATGATACGCTCGAGAAAGAAATGAAAGTAAGAGGAAGTAGAGAAAGGAAGAATCGAACCAGCGGAGTCATATCCTCGGTATTCCAATCTCTGAAGTCCCTTGATGAGCACATCGAGAATCTCCTTCCTCGTCCGGGGGGTCAGGTAATTTATGTACGCGAAGATACCTAGTGACAGGACATAGTAAATAAAGTCAAAGAAATTAGATCTTCCCGCGCTCAGCCTTCTGTAGATGCTGTATATTTTCGCAGTGTACGCGGGATTTTTGGAAGGGGGCTCAGGATTCACGCAATTGAATTGGAGAGGTTTGACGACTCCAGACCCAGGATTCCCTTTCCATTAACCGTATGGTTTGCCTTTAAGGCATTTTCAAGAGGAACTATTATGGACCCGTATTTGATCCAAGTCAAGTCGAGACCAAACTTCGTCGGTAATATCCGAGAGCATCACGTTTTTAAACAAACCCCACCAAAACATGGACGTTCACCATGATGCTGGCTTAATTTTTGTACTACAGTAAATGTAAATGTTTGCCCAACTTTGCCTTGTCAACATGAGCCACCTGAATTTTTAAACTTGAAATTAAGGCAGTCATACACAATTTCTCAAAGATTGTACTCCATAGCATGAGACAAGATCAAGGAACACGAATGCACCCATACCTGCGCCAAAAGCAGTGTTCGACAAACCTTGAGGGCACATCACAGACGATACTAGAGTCCCATTTTCGGGAAACATATGCATCCATTCGTGCAACGGGTAAAAATACAATAAAAACTTGGAATCTCTCGAACTGGGGTCAACAAGAATTTACTTTAACGGGCTAGACATTTCAGGAAAGTAAATTCCCCTTTGTCAGGAGTAAGACGTTAAGATTTAGGAACAACAAAATTCAAGGAAGAAAAATAACTTCCAGTCTGGACAGGGGAGACCAGCAAGAAGATCAAAAGATAAAGAGAAGGAGGAAGGATAGAGGTAGGTAGGGGAAGGCGGTATAAATAGATAGTTGGAAATATACCGAAGGGTGAAAGGAAAAGAGAAAGGGCCCTGAAAAGTCCGGGTTTCGGTGAAGGGTTTCCATGTCTTTATCCAGAGCTAATCTTTCTGCAGATCGGGTTGTGGAGTCTTCCTATTTTATTGAGGGTCGAGGTTATAACGAATTCCCTTGGGCTCATTTTGGGAACATACCATATACAGTGTATGTCCATTTGCTCTGTTCGATAACGGTTTCCCTGTTTCACGCACATACTGCAGAGTGAATCTTTTGCACGTATTGAGGTAAATAATATTGGCATAAGAATCCTAATTCTAAACGGCTTCGAATGCATGGGAATCAGCATCGAAAACAGGTTAGTGAATAAAACACGCTGAATGAAGCAGTACAACCCAATAAATTTACATCGTTGGTCAAAAATGCGTTTTTTTGAATTTCTTGGCAAGAAAGGTACCAGTTGAATCCCATTCGTAGATTCCATAAGCCCAAATCCATGTGTCCAAATCCAAAACCATTGACGATAAAGGAGGGTCGACGAAAGGGAATTAATTTTCCAAAAATCTCAGCTTCTTTAAAGAAAATCACATTCAACACAGATTCCAGCGTTTAGTTTTTTTTTTAATATGCTCTGCGTTTCTCCCATTTTATCTCTTCTGATCCTGGTTTTAAGGGAGGCAGTCGGTCTCGCAGTAGACTTAGACCCAGGACTTTGTATCCAATAAAATTTTAAAACATCACCAACCTAGAAGAAATCCCATCAATATACTATAAGAGACGGGAGAGAAAGAGTTATTCCCAATCACAAGTACAGACAATTTACAGCAGACTCCAATGTGAAACACGAGCCGTTTACAACCTGATTAGAATTCGAGATGGACTCGTCAGAGAGTACAAAGAGTTGTGAAATTTCATACCTGAGCAGAGAAGACGCAAGGCGAAAAAAGGAGACTTTAACCAAATAACCTTGCGGCATGGCATTTGGGGCAAAAACTATCACTATGAAATGCTAAAGAAAAAAAAAGGAGGGGCGAACAATCGGAACGATTTTTTTAACAGAGCACTATCGAATAATGCAACTTCATTTCAGGATAAATACATTGTATTTCCCGAGTATTAAGCTGCATTATCGGATAGTTCTCTGTTCAAAAATACACCTAGTTTCTTTCCTAATTGGTCTTCGCACTCTCACCTGAAGAGTCACGAATGTCGCTTTTACTCAACCAGGGTCTACCCTACAACAATGCTGTTTACCAGATTATTTTTGTGCAAGGATGCATAGTCTTTGTGGCTCCTTCGGATCTCCATCTCGATCCCTATCTTAATTCTTAGCCCTCAATTTACTTTCTCAATCTGCGATCCTTCTCGTATTTCTGTCCTCCTTCCCCTTTTAATTACGCTGGGTATTTCCTTGCGTAGGTTTCCGTAATATTCTCATCCCGATATGAGGCTATCTAAAATAGTTCCTTTTCCTTTACACATGAATAGGTAGATACCACACCTGGTCAAGCAGGAAAACTATGCTGGAATGGAGGAAATAACAAGCCAGAGAGATAAGAGTCAAGCATGTTTAAAAGAGTCTTTATATATACATATAAAAAACCCAACATGGAACCCATCATATGAAAGGAGCGAGTGATAGATGTTCAGATCACAGGTACGAAGTCAAGTCTATAACGACTGGAGCAACGATAAAAGAAAGTTGACCGGCGGGTTCGACTGCTGGCTTCCGTAATCACCAGCACCCTCTTTCTTCATCTCGCTGCTTTCTTGAATGCTCCATTATTACCCAATATTCTATTACTGGTGTTCTACGATATGAAATTTCAAAACTACTCTGATGCAACAGGAAATACCTGATCAATGCATATCAATATCAATGCTGAAAATACTAATGAACCGAACTCCCAAGTCGAAACAATGAATGAATGCATTTATTATTATAAAGAATTTTCTTCCAGATGTAAATATTCAAAGAATTGTCAAAAAATTAAGCATTTTCTCCTGCTTAGGCAACAGTTGATTACAAACAAACGGAATTTCGTTCTTATTTATTCAGCTCTTCTATTTACTTTTCCATGTGGACTGAAACAAGTACACAAGTGGGACCAATGACAGAAGCGGTTCAACACCTCAGTCGCTTACCGAACACCTATGACGCCTTTGCTACTCCCGTCGGATGTTTTATCCTCTCCAGATACAAATAAGTTGCAATGAAAGGCTCTCATTGCCTCATGATGCTACACATCGTAGAAGTCTATATTGGTGACGTTTTCCTAATTTGCCTCACTTCCATGGACTTCCATACATACACACGATAGGCACTTTGGTGATCCAACTATAGACATTAGGAGCTCTACAAGGAGGTCAAAGAAAAGGATACCTCTACCCTTAAGTGTGATCAACATGAACGGCAGCTATGAAACAAAAACGTTGCTCTGAATGACATACAGTCAGTGGCGGCTCGTGATATTCAGCCGATCACCAAGCAGATACCTCTCCCCCATCCGTCCCCTCCCGCGACGGATGGGGGAGAGGTATCTGCTTGGTGATCGCGACTTATAGACGAGCCGCCACTGCATACAGTACTTTTATTTCGCCAATACAAACATGTCCTCCTTTCTATTCAATGTCTTGCAGTTATATGCACCACAGTCAAATTGTGCACGGCAACGAGCGGAGTATTAGGGATTGCCAAGAATCAGCTATTGCTCAACTGGAGTCTTCCATGCTCCGCCTTATGGTTTGGCTGAACTTTGTATGGGTAAGTTGCAAGTAAGTAAATGGTAGGGTATGCATTAATTTCGCAAATCTGTTTTCGCGTATTTGGCCAGACATTTGTCAAATCTCAGGCGCAAACTATCCTTCAAGATGGTGACATCTTGGGCAATTGTTGATTTCCTGCGAAACGAAGTGCCAGACGTCATTAAACTTCACATGTGGCAACAAGTTAGTTCGACTGGAGACCCTATTGATCACTTGGTATTGCAAGAACGTTTCTAGCAGGATGAAACCAGAAGCATTTAATAATTAAAAAGGGTAATTTTCGAATTGTATGTATGTATGTATGTATCCAAGTCATTCCCCTTGCCTCGTTGCAGCGTGCAATGAGGCAGTATTCGCTCAAATGCAGACCACCATCAACAAGTATCGAAGAATAGAGGAATATCGTATCTGTATTAAGGAAGTGGAAATAACATTTCATTCAGAGCAATGCTTTTGTGTCATAGGTGCCACTGCAATACAATTACATCCACAGCCCTTTTTTTGGCGGGGGGGGGGGAGTAGCGTCAACGAAGACGTAATATCAGGGTGCGAAGATCACAACTTTAATGCTACTCAGGCCCTACGCTTATTCATCCTAATAACTTCGGGTATATGGCCGTCGCTAGCGAGGGACATCAGCCCCTTCTTCCACCACAATGCAGCAGCGTGGCCTAAGCTCTCGAATCCCCCTAATAGTACCAAAATAGCACGAGGGGCACCGTCGGCCGTGCCACCGGTGCTACCTCATACATGCAAGTCTGAGACCCAAACCACTGAGGCTACGGTGATGCGATCAATATTCATTAGACTACTCGAACAGCGGGAATGAGCACCAATCCCGATTTTTAGTTGAGATTTCTCATTTCCTATCCCGACCGGACTTTACTTCGTACCCCTATGCAATGGCTGAGAATGATGGTATTGCATAATAGGGAAAAGTAGAAGGGAAGTAAGGTCTTACCACACATGATGGGAGTAAAAGTTGCGGAACACGACGTGAAAAACGTGACTGGCACAGACAGAGGCCTGCAAGCGATAGTATCCTATGAATAACACCGCTTTACCGTCGCCGAGCTACACGAAAGACAAGCACTTGGGCTGCGTCTGGCGCATACTCTCGCTGCCTACTGTAGCCGCCCTCCCTTCATCGATCTCTTTAAGAATGAACTGAGGGCGCACGCGCAGATCATGACTACGAGTGTGCCACGTGACGCACCGTTATGCCCGGTACGCCACAGGAACCGGATCTTTGATATAATACGACACGGATTCCTCGTACGACGTCCACCTCGTGCGCACGTGTTCCCTCTCCCTCTATTTACACCTTGAGTGTCATCCCACTCTCCTGGACCTGATATGCCCACCAATCCCGTGGTGGGACGCTTTTCCTCAAACTCCAGCGATAATTATCCTTAAAATGTTTGCGTCAGAGACGTCAAACCCAATTTTTACATGTTCAAATTTTCATTCGAAAGTTTAAAATTTTGGGCTGGCTTGTCACTCAGCAATGGAAACGCAAAACAAATGGTGTCACAAAAGAAGAGTCACGACAGTAAAAACCCTATTTTTCTCCCCTTTCCCTTTCTCTTTTCGAAACAGATGCATCTCAGTTACTGCAAACCTTGTGAAATAAATCCCCTACAAAACTGATTGTCTTTCTTTTCTTTTTGTTTTGGAGACATCAGCCTTGTTTCAACCGTCTCCTTTGCTGGTTTTTTTTTATTTCTTTGGACAGCACTTAAATGGATCCGTCATACTTGTCAAGCTTGTCTCGTTGAAGCTTGTCTCCACTGCAGAATGTCGCTAAACCAAAACCGCTGAAAATGTAATGAAATATTCGCAAGAGATTTTCATACCCAATGACCAGTGTTGCCGAATTTGAAACTCACAATGGATATTAAACATAATGTAGTCGGAAGCCGAGGCAATTTCCAGTAAAATCAAAGCTTTAGAAATGCTCTATGGATCGCGATGTCTTGAACGCCTCACGCAGTCTTAAGTCCCTATCTAGAAGGCATCTTTCAGCATTTTTAGACCCCATTATTTTACTTGATCGGAATGTGAGATCCTCAGTTGCTCTTCGTTTAAGTTAAATTCGTCGAGAATAAATTGACTATACCCTCGTAATCGCTGTGAATCGCGCACCCTCCAAGTGCTTTTTCTTCCCTGTATTGGCTGTTCCATGCTCGTAATTCTTGTATATGATGCAATATTCGCCTTTCATTGCTTTCGATCCTTTGGAAAGCCTTGCATGCATGCTCATTCGAACCCGACGACTCTCTTGCCTTGAAGGCACCCAGTGCAATGCAAGGTGAAAGTGGAGGGGATCATTCCCCTCGATACCGTCAAGTATATCCAGGAACCTTGCCATTCACCCTGCGGTTTTTTGCATAAGCGTAGCGTGAAATATGGGGGAGGGGGGCGCGGGATCTCTGGGACCCTTTTCATGGGTCTTTTCCTTCTTTTTTTTAGCTTCTTTTCTTGGAAAGGGGGGGGAGGGGGCACGTGTCCCCCGACTCTACGCGACTGAGTTTTGGTTTATATGCTTCTGTTGCTCTGGCCCATGTCTTATCAGACGTCAGATACACTTTTGCGGTTTCGGATTGTAGCTGTGCCTCCAGGGCTGTGGCCGTCCACCCACGACAAAAGTTGTCTTGCAGGCAATATTTCTTCCCTTTCCCCCCCTCCCCCCTTCCCCCACTTGCCTTTCCGAAGGATTGGTTCACTCTAAATTTCGTTTCAGGGTAGTAAAATTTCGCGAAATTTCCTCACATTCGCGAGCGATAAAACGCTAGCTTCTTGGGTTCCCTATCAAACTTCCCCCACCCCCAGCAGCAGGCTCTGATTCAACAACTGGGATTTAAAAAAAATTCCATACGTAAAACAAGGTCCAGTCGAAAGAAAGTTATTGTGTGGAGATTCCGGCACTGCGTAACCCCACACCTATTCACTACGGAGATGTCATAAAATGGTAATACTTTGAAAGCCCTTGCTGCGTGTATCATGCAGGTAGGAAGCCAACTGAAACATGGCGAAATCGGAGTGGAATTGGGGAATTCAAGCGTTCCCGTATCAGCAGTTGTGATTAGAGAGGTAGTTGCTGCTGCCGACCAACGATAACTTCTCAGAATTATTTCAAAAGTGACACGTTTCGGCTAAAATGTATCCAACAGACGGAACCAATTCTCTGAAAGCTGCACTTCTTAACATACGAGCGACTGGGATGAGGGAACATCGCAGGTGGTACTCGGGGTACATTGTCTTTCACTTGAGTCAAAATTTCTCACGACTCAGATATTTGTGCGTGAGATGTTCTTCATTCTGAGCGTTTGAGTCAAGTGGAAAGTCGTCTGACTCTTGCGGAAAACACCCATAATTGCAGTTTGCAACAGGCAGTGGGGCTTTTCATTCCACGCATGTCGAGCAATTGAGGGTGTGTGAAACGAAATGTATCAGAGGAGCGAAACTTTTGCAAAATGAACAAGGACTCACGAGAGAAAATTTAGCACCCCCAGCCGGCTCTGGGGCCTTCAAATTTCTTAGAAAGACGAGACAACGAGTCGGAAACGTGGATTTGAGGTTCATGAGAGAAACATTTTAGAACTAACTGGATGAAAAAGAGAGAGAGAGAGAGAGAGAGGCACGACGATGCAACAATGGATCCTTGGTAGAGCCTAGAAATTCTGCGAGAGCGAACGAATTTCGCGTTCCATCGGAGGAAACGACCGAGTTACAGAGCCGTGGTCGTCCGGAAACCGACCGAAGAAATTCTCAGTCGGTGACTGATTTCCCTCCTTTTAAAAGGCGTGGAGGCGAAGCAGAGGCAAAAACCGGGACGACGCCGACGGGATCGGGAAGGATCCCCTCGTCTTCGACTCCTAAATCTCCCACGGAATCTGGTTCGACTCAATCCAACTCTTGCCTCAGACTTGCGATTGTTCCCTACTCGTGCTCTTCCGATACCGTGCATACTTCGATCGCAGAAATCCATCCTCTTTCTCCGGACCTTTACTATGTCTAACCTTATGACGTGATTCCCTCATTGCCGTGCCAGTCAGCGTGAAATTACCGAAAGACATCCGCTAGCGAAAACAAATCCCTTTTTTAAATCTCAACATGAAGTTTTCTGCCGCTTGGAAAAAAAGGGAAGATTCGTGTTTTTTTCCTTTCCAATAAATAAAACTACACTAGTTCCTAAACCTGCACGAGATGGTAGATTCCATTGTTTTCTTTAGATTACTCGTTATCGCAGGGATGACAGCTAATTTGCATATCGTTGGCACAGCTGTCTAGTTTTATAATTAATTACAATCGGCCGCCATCGCGGAATGGAAAGACGAGCTATCAAGATAGAACTTTTTTCACCTGTAGGGAAGGGGAAGATTTTCCTTGAAAATGAATAGTCTCACCCACGATTATACCTGATCTTGATTTTTCTTCACACTCGCCGAAGAGATGGAGAGAGAAGGAAGTATGCGAAGTGGGACAGAGAGCGGGGCGGAAGGATCCTCCAGTCCATCCGGGACTCGAGCCCAGCCGAGCAGCAGTGCCAGGACGAGTGCCGATCCTCGGAACTGGAGTGAAAAACAATGGCAACAATGGTCTTCACCCGTTTCTTCCCCGAAAAATCTTCTCGGTATCCGTCCACGTTTGAGCACTTCTCCGGATCGTTTCTCCCCAGGTACGAGAGCCTGGACGAGACGGAGAAGTTCGCAGACCTGACTCGAACGCCTGAATTCGCTAAGTCCCGGTATCGGAATTGGATTCTGGAATTCGTTCGGGAGCACGGAAAGGAGACCCAGTTAGATGAAGAGAGTTCGTCTCGCTTGGGAATCGCCCTGGTCCTGTTTTTCGGGATCCTGGCCGCCACCTCGGCCCTCGTCGGGCTCGTCCGATTCCGCTGGAACGGCCGCAAAGATGCGTTGATTGCCGCTAGCGGGATTCCGGCCTATGCCCTCTTCCTCTTCGCCATCGTTGTCGGAATCCGCGCCTTCGGTATCTGTCCCATTCCATCAACTCGTTCGCGCGGTCTTAATAAGAGTCCAACTTAACCGCAGAACTCCATCTGTAAGTGTGGAAGGGAGCATCCAACGTTCCATTTTGGCCAGAGCCTCGTTGGAGGTCTCTCGTATTGATGAAAGTGAATCGTGGTAACGCGGATTTCAGTTCTGCAAGGAGGAAGGAAGGTGGAGCTTGTCAATTCCTTCTACCTCCCTCCCCTTCCCCCTTTCATCGTGATTCTGTTATCCTGAATAGTGCACTTACAAGGTATATTAAATTTTTTTTTCCATCGACTTCCTGTTCTTTCCTTTCTTTGAGACTGAATTGCGACACCATCACGATTCACTTCTAAGTTACAGCGAAGGATGTGTGTCTGGCCAAAGTGGAACTTCAGAAATGGTTTTCCGCAGTTTATCACACATCAGAATGCAACATGACCCGTATTCGTTCTTAGCAGGAGCTTCAAAACGTGCTGAAGCGGTTCGACTACGAATATATAGGGGCCAGAATGAAACAGTGTCCCCAAAACCCAGGTTATGGTTCTCTTGAGAAATCCTGTATAATGGGCCAGACATGTCAGGGAGGGGGACTGGGACTGGGACTGGAACAGGTGAAGTTAATGTATTGAATATATAGGACTCCGGCGTGCCTACGACAGGCAATATGAAAACGAGATCGAGAATCGCGTTTTCAGGGCTTTTGTAGTGTTGTGGGATCTCTGGCGGACCATAAATGCCGAGTCGAAAATTTCCGGGAAAGTGAAACTCGGTTTTTGAAGCTTTCATCTCCCCACCCTCAGCTATAGCCTTTAACTTTTTGGAATACGTCCGAAAGAATCGGATTGTGGGTACGAGCTGCCGATACGAGGTTCCCACACCGAGTGGTTGGCGTGTGGCGTGGCCCATTCGTGATGAGTACCGGGATCCGTGAAAGCTACGTAATCTAGCGGCTACTTCCCCGCATCGAGGAGAAAATAAGTCTGGTGGTTCCGACACGTCTGCCGCAAGCTCCCGAAGAGTCTCCCGAAAAGACTCACCCTGAATTTCGACCTCACGGATCTTAGAAACGGAGTGACTCAGAAAAGATGGCAGGGTATGATACGCGACCGCATTATGAGAGGTCAAGAGGTTCGTTAGCTTTCAGATCTGAAGCGAGGGGGAGGAGAATGGTTCGAGAAGGGGCTTGGCCCAAAATAGGG